TGATCATCATCACCATCGTCATCATGACCAACACCACTATCATCATCAGCATCCTCATTGCCAGCATCATCATCAACAGCATGATCAGCATCATCATCATCATGAACATCAGCATCGGCATCATCAGCATCATCAGCAGCATCATCATCCGCAGCAGCATCATCATCGTCATCATACACATCAGCATCATTATCGTCAGCATCAACATTATCATCACCATCCGCATCATCACCATCCGCATCATCACCATCAGCACCATCAGCACCAGCCGTATCACCATCAGCACCATCAGCATCACCATCATCACATCACCATCAGCAGCATCACCGTATTCAGCAGCATGACCATCACATTCATAATCAGCGTCATTATCATCATTACCAGTATCATCATCAGTATCAGCATCAGCATCAGCATCATCATAATCATCATCGTCATCATCATCATCATCATCATCATCAGCATCATCAGCATCATCATCATCATCTTCAGCACCATCATCATCCATCATCAACATCAGCATCAGCATCAGCATCATCATCATCATCAGCATCATCATCAACGCCAGCCGCATCAGCACCAGCAGCATCATCATCATCATCGCCAACATCATCAGCATCATCATCATCAGCATCATGAGCATCCGCATCATCATCATCATCATCATCGTCATCATCACCATGATCAGCGTCATCATCAATACCACCTCCACCACCACCACCATCAGCATCATCATCACCAGCAGAATCAGCAGCATCATAAGTATCAGCATCATAATCAGCAGCATCATAATAGTCATCGACATCGCCATCAGCAAACAGCATCAACAGCCTCAGCATCAGCATCATCGTCGTCATCAGCATCATCATCGTCATCATCATCAGCAGCATCATCATCAGCCGCATCATCGTCGGCATCAGCATCATCAGTATTATCATGAGCAACATCAGCATCGTCATCATCATCGTCATCGTCGTCATCATCAGCACCATCAGCATCACTAGCATCATGAGCAGCAGCAGCAGCATCATCGTCATCATCAGCGGCATCAGCATCGTCAGCATCATCATCAGCATCGTCATCAACATCAGCATCATCATCATCAAGATCATCAGCATCATCAGCAGCATCATCATCAGCGTCCGCATCCCACTCCTCCTCCTCCTCCTCAGCCCCCTCCTCCTCCTCCTCCTCCTCCTCCTCCTCCTCCTTCTCATCATCATAATCATCATCAGCAGCAGCATCATCATCAGCATCAACAACATCATCATCAGAATCCCCCTCCTCCTCCCCCTCCTCCTCCTCCTTATCCGCCTCCGCCTCCGCCTCCGCCTCCGCCTCCGCCTCCGCCTGCGCATCTTCCTCCTCCTCCTCCCCCTCCTCCTCCTCCTCCTCCGCCTCCGCCTCATCTTCCTCCTCCTCCTCACCTTTCTCGTGCAACATTGCACCTCATCGTCTTCGTCCCCTTCCTCCTCCGTCTCTTGTGCTCCTCATCCCTCCTCCTCCTGCTCCTCCTCCGTCTCCCTTCTCCTCCTCCTCCGCCTCATCCTCCTCCTCCTCATCATCATCCTCCGCCTCCCCCTCCTCCTCCTCCTCATCCTATTCTCCTCCTCCTCCTCCTCCCCCTCCTCCTCCTCCTCCCCCTCCTCCTCCTCCACCTATCCCCAAGATTGTCCCACGAGACCGATCATGAATCAAGATAACATCCGGCAGACCTCCAAGGGGACTCAAGACAGCCTCAAAATGGCCCAACATAGCTGAGCATGGCTCAAGATAGCAACAGGCAGCTTCTAGCCGAGCACAGCTCCATATGGCTTCCAAAAAGTCTCAAGAAAGCCTCCGATCATGTGAAAAAGCTGGTGGGGGATGCACGACACGTAAAGATACCCTGCGACGTACCCAACACACTTGCATCGAGTGGAACGAGACGTAGGGCACTATTGGCAGGAACAACGACAGTGCAGGCGCGGCGATTTGTTGTGCAAGCTGCATGGGACGCGCGCACGTTGCACGACTCACAGGACAACGATCGACAGGACGAGGATTGGGGCCCCGAACGTGAAGAAGAACGTGGGCGGGAACGACGGGCAGGAGAATGACGGAATTGTAAGGGGCAGGAAGCCATCGCGACAGCAGCAGCATGGAGAAGGTGACAGGGGGAATAGGGTGACGATGAAAATGGCGGAAGGAAACAGAAGAGTACCGCTGTGTTCAACAGCTGGCTAAACATGCAGTGCTGGCCTCTGCTGGCCCCCCAGCAGCCCTCGAAAGTGGCTGCAGTTTCGCACATCGCAACCCTCCAGGGATGGCGAGGTCTAATATGAGTGCGACGGGTACCCAATATGCTCCCCCCCTAGCAGCCCTCGAAACTGGCCACAGTGCCCCAGATCGCAGACCCCGGGGATGGCGAGGTCTAATCAGAATCTGCGGCGAGTGCCCACTATGCTGCCCCCCCCAGCCGCCCTCGAACGTGACGACAGCTTCGCAGATCGCAGCCCCCTATGCGGCGAGTGCCCACTATGCTGGTCTCCCCAGCAGCCCTCGAACGTGGCGACGGTTTTGCAGATCGCAGCCCCCCAGGGATAGCGAGGTCTAACATGAGTCTGCGGCGGGTGCCCACTATGCTGGCCCCCCAGCAGCCCTCGAAAGTGGCGACAGTTTCATAGATCGCTGCCCCCCAGGGATAGCAAGGTCTAATCTGAGTCTGCGGCGAGTACCCACTATGCTGCCCCCCCCCACCAGCCCTCGAACATGGCCACAGCTTCGCAGATCGCAGCCGGCGAGGTCTAATATAAAGCTGCGGCGGGTACCCACTATGCTGGCACCCCCAGCCGCCCTCGGAAGTGTCTGCAGTTTCGCACATCGCAGTCCCCCGGGGATGGCGAGGTCTAATATGAGTCTGGGCCCCCCAGCAGCCCTCGGATAGCGCCCCCACCCGCAGCTTAATCCCTGTGGCGACGACGCCACGCCTGCCAAGCTTTGCGACCCCGAAACGGATAGCGCCCCCCCGCAGCTCACCCCCTTGCGGTGTCGAGAAGTTGCCACGCCGGCCACGCTTTGCGAGCCCGAAACGGATAGGGAGACCACCCCCCTTGCACCCCTGTGGTGCGTGTGTGCTGTCTGGTGTGCGTGTCATGTGTGTGTGTGTGTGTCTGTGTGTCTGTGCGTCTGTGTGTCAGTGTTTGTGCGTCTGTGTCAGTTTGTCTGTGTGTGCGTGTGCGTATGTGCGTGTGTGCGTGTGTGCGTGTGTGCGTGCGTGTGTGTGTGTGTGCGTGTGTGTGCGTGTGTGTGTGCGTGTGTTTGCGTATGTGTGTGGGTGGTGGGTGTGTGCGTGTGTGCGTGTTTTTTTTTGGCGTGCATGCGTGCGTGCGTGCGTCCGTGTGTGTGCGTGCGTGCGTGTGTGCGCGCGCGAATGCGCGTGCGTGCGCGCGTGCGTGTGCGTGTCCGCTTGCGCGTGCGTGTGCGCGTGCGCGTGTGCGTGCGGTGTGCGGCGTGCGCGTGCGTGTGCGCGTGTGTGCGCGTGCGCGCGCGTGCGCGTGTGCGCGCGTGCGCGCGTGTGCGCGTGTGCGCGTGTGCGCGCGTGCGCGCGTGTGCGCGTGCGTGCGCGTGTGCGCGTGTGCGGGCGTGTTCGTGCGCGGGTGTGCAGACGCGCGAGCGCGCGCGCGCGTGCGCACGGGCGCAATTCGCGCGTGCGCGCGTGCGCGTGTGCGTGCGTGCGTGAGTGCGTGCGCGCGCGTGACTGCACGCGTGCGTGCGCGCTGTGTGTGCGAGTTGTGTGTTATGTGTTGTGTGGTGTGTGGTGTGTGTTGTGCATTGTGTGTTGTGCGTTGTGTGTTGTGGTATGTGTGGTTTGCGATGTGGGTGCGTGCGTGCGCGCGCATGCGTGCGCGCTTGTTTGTGTGGGCGTACGTGTGTGCGTGTGCGTGCGTTTGTGCATGCATGCGCGCGCGTGTGCGTTCGTGTCTCTGCGCGCGCAAGGCGCGCGCTCGCGCGTGCGCGAGTTCCAGCGCGAATGCAGAATGCAAATGGGAATGCGCATGCGCATGCGGGTGTGAATGTGGATGTGGATGCAGATGTGGGCGTGGATGTGGACGCGCATGCGAATGCGAATGCGAGTGCGAATGTGAATGCGAGTGCGGATGTGGATGCGAATGCGGATGCGAATGCGGACGCGAATGTGAATGTGAATGCGAATGCGACTGGGAATGTGGATGCGCATGCGAATGCGACTGCGAATGCGAATGTGAACGCGCAGGTGAATGTGAGTGTGCGTGCATGCGCACGTGCGCGTGCATGGTTGCGCGTGATGTGCGTTGGGCGGTGTGCGCGGTGTGTCTGTATGCGCGCAGTGCGCGCGCGGTGTGCATGCGCGTCTGACGCGCGCGGCGCGGGTGGAGGTGAAGAGGAGAGGGCATGACTGATAAGCGCTGGCGGCGCGGGTGGGAAGAAACGAACAAACCCACTTAGCATGTTGGGGAAAAAAAATCAAATCTGCGCGGTGGCCTTGGGGGGGCGCTACAAGCCCAACAAATACATGCTCATATGGCGCCTCGGACAACTCGAAGCGCGAGGGGCGATGCGCCATCGTCAAATCATACGATCCGATCCCTGACCCGCGCATGTCTAACGTATTCCCTGCGAGAGAGGGGGGGGAGGAACAAAAACAACGAGAATGTCCACAGGGCGTCCTGGACGATTTCTTGCGGACGTCGTCTGGATTTTGCCTGGGTGCCCCAAAAAAGCCCTACGGATTGTCCGAGGATGTCCAGTGCTTCCCCGCAGATTGCCAAAAGGGTCCTGCAGTACTCGTGGGGATTTCCACAAGCGGGTTCACTTCAGTGCCCAAACCAGCACGGCGACCGACCCATCCTGACCAATGCAGACTGCTCTACGCGAGCACGCGACTGGGTGACCATGGTCACCCGCCCGCGCTCGCTTGCCTGCAACAAAAATATGTTCGCCTCACGGCGGACATGTCCTGACGACCCCCGTGCCCCATCCGGTCTGGTTCTTGATGTACTCCACGGTCAGGGCGGCCATGGCGAGAGACGCAGCACCCGGCCCCCGCGGCCCGCTTCGGGGCAGCTTGCACCCGGCGGGGGTGAGGGGAACAAAGGAAGGTCAGGGGGGGACCGACTCAGGAGGGGAAACATCGGCCTTAAATCGGCGATACTTCTCTGATAGATCAGCTCGGCAATAGGCTCCCGATAGCGAATCCGCGCGGTTTTGGGCGAGATGGGCTGTTGGGCCCCCCCCCCAGAGATGAACGGGCGATCGAGGGTCGATGCATCCCCCTCTGAGTCTCTCCCGCTAACGTTGCTACGTTGCTCCTGAAGGGGAGAGGCAGCGAGAGGGCCAGACCAGCCAGGGCTCAGGAGGAGGAGAGATGGAAACAGCGGAGGTTCCCGAAGCAGTGCTAACACAAACCCGGGCCGACACTCCGTGTGTCTCGGGGGACATCAAGACCCCCGGCCATACCGGACAGTTTGGCGCGGGGGGGCGCCAGCAAATGGCCTTGGGCGGAAGAGCGGCTCAAGGGTTCGAAGGGTGCCGAAGGCTTCGGTGGACTGAAAGATTCACGGTCTCGGATGTTTCCCCAATCGCCGCGAAAGCTCACGACCGGAGCCCCGGGCCCCAAATCTGGGAATCCAGACATCCTAGCTCATATCGCGGATCCGCTCACAACTTCCTTAGAGGCAACTGTGTGTGGCCCAGTTGTCCGCTTTCCGATGGTGAGGGGCAACGCTAAGGGGGACCAGCTCAGGGGGCAAAGTCGGCCTGGAATCCACGACGCATCGCCGAGAGATCCGCGATAGGCCTCCGATTTTGAATCCGAACGTTATGGGCGGGGCGGGAGATTAGGGCTCCTATCGAAAATGGATGGGCGGCGGGGGGTCGACCCGGAATTGGCGATGCAGCGCGACCCACCGACCCGATTTGCTTCGACCCCCTTGAGGCGGCCAGGAACAAAGCGGCATCACCATTCAGCTGCCACCTGGAGTCGTGCCATTCTTCGCGGGCTGGCAGGGGCATCGCTGGCCTTTGATGGTCCCAGCCCTCTCGCACCGTTCTTGGATCACCAGATGGTGATCCAAGCCTCGCGAGGGGTGGTCTGGGGTCCACCCAGGCCGCCCTGGACAAGCTGGGACCACGTTGGGCCGGGGCCATAGCTGGCAACTGCAACTTGTTTGTCGGCGGCGACGTGTGACACGGGGCGTCGGATAGCAACAGCTGGGACGCGACAGGGCAAACTGCGCACCGATGCAGATTCAAAAAGGAAGCGACCGCGGAGGAGGACACAGGAACGAACCGCGCTCAGCGCATGCAGGACCTCAAGCGTGGCGATTGCTGCCTCAAACTGAAGAGGGAGCCGTGCGAAGTGGCCACTAATCGTAGCGGAGTCCCGCACGCATTTGGCAGCACACGAAGTCGAGTTCGAAAGGATCAGCCAGATCAAAAGGGGAGAGGACTGTCTCTGGCCTGCGAGCCGCAACCGGCGAGAGTAGGCTTACGACGACCAGGACAATGCGGCGGAAAGAATTCGCTGGCCTTCGTGGAGCCCTCTTCCACAAATCCGTCTTCCCCTTCGGGGAGAAGTTTAACCTCCCCACCCTCCACTAGACCTGGACGGGAGGGACCGCGAAGGGTTAGAGTATCCAAGATCGGTCCCTGGGAGGGCCGTTGTTTGACACCCCTCACGAGGATCGTGGCCCCCGAGGGGGGGGGGGCCTCGATCGGGGCCCGAACTCCTTCGATCGATAGCCTCGAAGATGGCCCCAAGAGGCGCCCCAGGGCTCCCAAGAGAGCCCCAATGGGAGCCCCAAGAGGGCCCCAAGAGGATCTCAAGAGGGCCCCAAGAGGCACCCGAAAGGCTCCCAAGAGGCCCCCGAGCGGCCTCAGACAGCCCAAGATGACCTCCAAGATGGCTCAAATAGCCCAAATTGGCTCAAGATGGCTCCCAAGATGTTCCAAACGGCCCCAAGACCGCTCCACGTGCGCCCAAGAACGCTCCAAGAAAATCCCAAGAAGCGGTTTGCGGGCCCCTGCGGGGGGAGCCGAGCCGGGGACGGTCCCATCCTGTAGTCGATGGCCTCCAAGATGACCCCAAGAAGCCTTCCAGGGTGACCGAAAAGGTTCCAAAAGGGCCCCCCAAACTCCCACTGAACACCAGCAGCAGCAACCGCAAAAATACCTCGAGATTGTTCCGCGAGTCCTCGTCCGCGCCATCCTCATCCTAGTCCTCGCCCTCCTCGTCCTCGTCCTCCTCCGCGTCCTCGCCTCCCCGTCCTCCTCGCCCTCCTCGACCTCATCCTCCTCCTCATCCTCCTCTTCCCCTCGCCCCCACGCGGCGCCCAGGGATGGCCCGAAGAGGCCTTCCAAGGCCACCCCCTTGCTCGCTTTGTTTTTCTAAATGTGTCTTTTCGTCCCGTTTCCCGTCAGCTCTGAAGGGCAGGGCTTCTGAATGGGCGGGCGGGGGTACTTTTCGATCGCGACCGCGGCGAAAAGTCGGGCGGCGTTAAGGCACGAAAAACCGATGCATCGGCCTAAATTAGCGCACAGGAAGAGGAAGGCGAAAAGAGGACGAGAACGAACGCGGAAGAAAAAGGACCAGCGGGAAGGGCAAACAGGAGGCGAGCCTCGCTGTTGCTCACAGGACGGCGCACACCTGGAAGAACTTCCGGGCGAAGTGCAGCACCGAGAGGGTGAAATTCCAGGGCAATTCCTCGACCACGTAGAAGACCACCAGCGAGACGAGCAGCGAGCCCACGACGAGCCGTCGGACCGCGGAGCGTAAGACAGCGAGGCCTATACTGCGAGGGAGATCCCCAGCATGCAGGCGCTCAACAGAGCGGATCCAGAGCGCCAGACACCGAGAAGGTGACGTGGGTGCCAACAGGCGGGGACGGGCAGCCCGCGCCGCCACGGTGGCAGGAAGGTCCAGCGAGGACTGGCGGGAAAGGTGGGACACGTGGGTGCCGTCAGGCGGGGGCGAGCAGCCTGCGCCGCCAAGGTGGCGAAAGCGCACAGACTGAGGACAGGGCGGGGGAATGCCGGCAGGGCGGGTGCGAGCAGCACGCGCCGCCCAGATGGCAGAGGGCACAGCCCGAAGACTAACAGGGATGGGCTCGGCGGGGGAGGACCAGGCGTCCGTCGACCCCGCGCGGGGAGGGATGGTAGAGCGACGAGGGAGCCCTGAGCGCCCCACGACGGGCGGGGCGTGGGGGCCCGGACGAGCGCCGACAGCCCCAGCAGAGGGCGCGCGCCGGGTGGTATTGGGCACATGGCCAGAGCGGCCGCGGATGGGCCGCAGGGAAGGCGGGGCAGGCGATGGCCAGCTGGCGCGGACACGCGAAGCGCGAAGAATGCCCCATTGGGGCAACGACCGAATAACATGGAAATCGCTGCCAATACTGGGCTGCCGCTGGTCCTCGTCATCCCCCTCTCTTCCCCCTCCCTTGCCGCAATCGCCGATTGGCTTCCACAGTCCCCGCCCTGCTGGACAATCGGGAGGCTGGGGTCGGGGCAATGGCCTCAATATGAGCGCGGCTTTGTGTGAGCCGCGAAAATGGCGCCGTGTGTGCGTCGTTCTGTGTTTTTCGGGCTGCGCCGTTTCCAGGCCCAGCCGTGTCGGCAGCCGTGTGCACTGTTTTAGCGCTGTGGGGGTCTTTGAAAGGCGGGGCCCTCCGCTTGCGCCTCAAGCAATCCGTCTGGGCAGAAAACTCATTTGAACGTCACGCGCTGCCGGCCGGGATACAGGGCGTCGGTACTCATGCTTCCCACACGGGTTGTGTGCCCGTGGCCTGTTCCAGCCTGGTTCTGTATTCCAGTTTGTTTCTGCTTGTTGTCAACTGTTACTCGCCAAAAGGTTCCCCTGCCGCCACCCTCCTCCTCCTCCCACTCCCCTGCTCCTCCGTTCGTTTTGTTAATGCCGCCCCTCTTTTCCCTCCTCTTGCATTCCCTTTGTCCACCCCATCCTTTCCTCTTCAGCCTCTTGTTGCCCGCATCCTCATCACCCTCGCCATCGACAGCATCAGCGTCATCATTGTCTTCACCACCATCACCATCGTCACAATATCATCAGCATCAGCATCAGCATCAGCATCACCTTAATCATCATCATCCTCAGCAGCATCGTCATCACGCTCATCACCATCATCCGCATCATCATCGGCCTCTTTTTGCCTGCTAAGCGTTCCCCCTGCCTCCGTGTCCTCACCGTCTTCCAAGTCGCTCTACTCTCGTCGCAGGGATTTACAAACGCCGCCTTCGTCGTCCTGTTCTTGAACACCCTCTTGGTATCCTCCTCCCAAGACAGTTCCCACTGCTCCTCCTGCCCGCCCCCCCCCTCGCCCCCATTTCACTCACTCCTCCTTTTCCCCGTCCAATGTGACAAGGTTCACCCCCGAATCCTGCTCACGGGCCTCATCATCATCCCCCCGTCCTCCTCCACGACGTGCGTCTTTCCTCTGTTCCTCTTCCTCCTCCCCACGTCACTCCTGTCCCTGACATCTTGCAGCTCCACTTGTTTCCACCTCAACTTTTTTGTGCTCGCTTCCCATGTCTCCTCGAGCAATGGAACTAAGCTACGCGCCACACCCCACCCCCACGTGCACCACCACCACATACACATCCGAGCCGTCCACTTCTGCAACCTTTTCCATGATACCAGAGAAAAACCCCAATCAGAATTTGGGGGGGGGCTATGGGGCTTTAGGGCTTTAGGGCTATGGGGCTATAGGGCAATGTGGCCATAGGGATACAGGGCTAGAAGCCTTTAGGGCTATGGGGCTATAGGGCTACTGGGCTATAGGGCTATAGGGCTAAGGGCTATAAGGCTATTCGGGCTATTCGGGCTATAGGGCTATATACGGCTATAGGGCTTTGGGACCATAGGGCTATAGGGCTGTAGGGCTATAGGGCTATCGGAGGTGAGGGGGTGAGATCGAAGTGGAACGGAGAGCCCCCCTACCGGGAAATCGATTTCGGTTTCGTGTTCGTGCGTGCCGTGCGGGCGAGGCGAAGCTGCGTGGGCGGGCGAGAGAAAGTCTCCTGTGGCTGAGGCGCGGCCGGACCAAATGTCTCCCTTCC